AAATATGCAGATTTCTAGCCTCTGTTCATCCCTCGTTAGACACCAACCCTCTCTCATCTTCCTTCCACCACCTTCCCTCACAAGCACAGAACTTTGAATTGCTGGTCCCATCACATTTGCCTCCAGCTTTGTCCCTAACCGGAGTTTTCTTTTCCAGTTTCCCTGCAGCTTACCTAGCAAGAGAAGGAATGTCAAAAACATCTTTGCTAGTGGCCAGCAGGGGGCAGTGTTCAACAAGCAATAATTAGATCTAGCTTCTAGCTGCTTATTCAATGCAAGAGTCCCCAGGCCACTCCTCAAACACGCACCCCTCTTTCCTTCTGCTTCTCCCATTCCCTGCGTCTCCTCAGCTGCAGTTGATTTCATAACTTGCCTACTTGCATGTTCCAGGGAGGTTAGCTCAGATATTGCGCCCTGCTCAGCACTCCTGTGTGTCCACTTGGACTTCTGAGCGATACATCAGGAAACCCCACTAGAGTCTTGATTCCGGAGCCATCTCTCCAGGGAAGCCTGCAAGCTCGTGGGTGCCCAGTTGGTCTGGTGGGAGGGGTGCTGTAAGTCCAGCCCCTCCCCTGACCTAGCACCCCGAGAGTGTACCAGTACAGGCTGACCTGTATTTACTGCCCCTAGGTCTCATTTGGCAAGTACTTAGGGAGCCAAGCACCCTCACAAGGATTTCATTTAACCCTCAGGACACCCTGGAGGATTTTGCCATCGACCTGATTTTATAGATGCGAAAGGTTACACTCAGGGAGAGTGTGTTAGTTACTCGCTGGAGCACGTGGGGTCGGGACTCGAACCAGCACCCTCACAGGCTGTTGGCGCTGCAAGAGGCATGGCTTCTCATTCTCTCCTCCTAGCACATTGCTGCTGCCACAGCCACCTCCTCTGCCCCCTCTCTCTCCCTCTCTCCTCTCTCTCTCATGCAACCTGGGTGGGTGCCTTCTCCTTCTGTCCTTGCACGGCACTGGGACTGAAACCAAGAAAGAAGTAGAAAGGGGCCAGCGTGTGGCATATCGGGCTAATTTTTAGCCTGTGGTACTGGCATCCCATATAGACATCGGTTCAAGTCCCGGCTGCTCCACTTCTGATCCAGCTCCATGCTTATGGCGAGGGAAAGCAGCAGAAGATAGCCTAAGCCCTTGGGATCCTACATCTATGTGGGAGACCAGGAAAAAGCTCCTGGTTCCTGGCTTCAGATCAGCTCAGCTCTGGCCATTGTGGCCATTTGGGGAGTGAACCAGCAGATGAAAGCTTTATCTCTTCCTTTCTGTCCTCTGCAAAAAAAAAAAAAAAAAAAGAACAGAAAGAAAAAAATCTGCCTTTTAAATAAAAATAAATATTATTTAATGAAGTAAGAAATACAGCATGGGAGTGGCATAAGGATCCTTCCAGGGAGAGGAAGAAGAGAGATGAAGAAGTCAGGCCTGAGGGGCTGCAGACAAACGGAAGTGTGGGAGAGGAAAGAACGCCCTGCCCCCCATACACATAGTGCCCACACCCAGAAAGGGGCACGGACCAGGCCTCCATTGTGCAGGCACAAAGGGGCCATATGCCTGGCAGCCTGCGGTGTCCCGTGCGTGTGAGCGTGGCTGTGTGCAGGCGGGTGAGGGGCGTGGCTGGGAGCCTCCTGACTTCCAAGCCTGGAGGCTGGCTTTCTGCTCTGCCACTGCCGAGAGGCTAGAGGGAACCACACCGAGGGACAGGACGGAGGCCTGGGGCCCACACGATGGGGGTGGGCAGGGATTGGCCGAAGGGGCCATGGGATACTCCGGAGGAAGGCAGGGCTGAGACGGAAGAGTCCTCTTACCTGGAACTCCAAACTGGCTCTCCTGGCTCCCCTGGCCAGTGCCCCGACTCCCACCCAACTGTCCTCTCACAAAAACCCCTTTCCTCCCCACTCCCTAACGGTCCCGCAGCCCTCACTCTGTCCAAAGACTTCCACCCACCCAGACTGGTCTCTCTCCCACTGGGGTTCCGCAACTCTCTCCCCCTCCCATTCTCCACCTCCTTCGGCAGCCGAAGCCAATCGATTATCTGAAGAAATTTGTGGCTAGCTGTAGAACAGCTGTGGCTGCCTCCCTTCGTCCCTCCCCCAGGCACTAGGAGATCCTCGTGGGGAGACCCCCGCCCCGCACCAGTCCTCCTGCTTTCGACTGAGGAGAGGCACAGAGCACACAGGATGGCCACGAGAGGAAACCATGGGTTCCCAGCCCAGCATCCTGGGGCAGCACAGCACCTCTCTGGACAAGGGTTCACCTGCCTTTGGGGGCAGTTGATTTCTGCGTCCCCCTCCAACAGATGCCCCCCCCTCGACCTCAATTTGGTCCTCTTTCTTGCCGGGCTCTGGGCAGGGCACTTTGCATGGTTCCTCCATGGGGGAACTCCCTAGGTCTAACTCAAATCCTCCTTGCTGCTGGATGTTTCTCTTCGCTCATCAAAGATGAAGATCCTTCAGGGATTGGTAGACATCACCTCCGTCCCGCTCCTCCCTCCCAGCCTTCTCTAGTGACCTTGACAGTGGTCTCGCTGAAGTTGGAGTGCCCCCAGTCCCCAGTATCCCCACAGGTGGGAGCCTCTGTTGCCAGGCAGTGCCAGCTGTTGTGAATCATAGCTTCTGCTCCTCGGCCCTGGAAAGGTCTGTTTCTGTCTCTCCCCTTTGGTGTCTGAAGACATCAGTCCGCCTCCAAGGATGCTCTTACCCAGACGGAGCCTCTGCTTTCACCGATTCCTTCGACGGAGGATCTGAAAGAGCGCCACCTGCCGACAGCTCATTTCAGCGAGGTCGAGGGCGGGTGGCAGGAAGGGCCTAAGTAAGGAGCCCGGGTCCCAGCCTCAGCTATGCCTCCCCACTAGCTGTGGGGTCGGGGCCTGGCTCGTCCCCCCTCTGGGCTTCAGTTTCTCACATAATTTGGATTCCTTGGATGTCCTTTCAGGGCTCTTGTTTCCAAGCCCCATCCCCACTCTCAGTCCAGGTCCCCCAGCGTGTGCTCCACAGTCCCCTTGAGCTAGGGACCACAACACGGCCAGGAAGTGACATTGAAAGGAGTTCTGACCCAGTGTAGGTGCACAGAGGCGAAGCCAATGTTACAAGTTCATGTCACGGCCCTTCCTGACAGTGTGAACCCACAGACACCTGTTTCCTGGAGTCCCCCTGGGACACCTGGCTCTTGCTCAAGCCCATGGGACACAGGAGCCGAGCACAACATCAGAGAAGTCGGTGAGTGTCACTCGGTGTCAGGCGGGGCACACATGGGGCCTGTGGGTTACACCTGCCCCTGGCCCGTACCCTGTGGCCCTTCTCCCTGTCTTCATTCCTCCGCCGTTCTGAGCTGCCAGGCCTCTTCAGAAGAACCATCAAGGCCTAGGAGACTTGGTCCCATCTTCCCACAAACAAAAGCCAGCCTCCCCACCCAATCAAGTGATCCACAGCCATCCCTGGTGCTAGAACGAGGTCACTTTAATGTCTGTCTGAACTTGAAAATGCCACAGGAGGGAATCACACACAGGACTCGGGGTCTGCTTTCAGGAGATAGGGAAGAAGCAAGGGTTCCGGGGCAGGGTGAGTGGGACTGTCTGGGGGTGGAGGGTCCTTGAGCAAGGATGCCCGGAGGGGCACTAGCTTGGAAGACGACTAGTGCGTCCGGATAGGCAGTGGCATGGAGGACGGGGCTGGGCATGGGGGGCGCAGGGGATGCAGGCATACCTGGGGGCAGAGCAGGAGGTGAGGAACAAGGGAGGTAAGAAGAGAGGCCGCTGCTGGGAGCGCCTCACTCTACCCCAAAGTGCACAACTCGGCAATAAATAGTGACATTTATAAATAAATAAATAAATACATAGATGAATAAATAAATACATACATAAATAAATATCCTTGCAGCGAGCAGTTTGGTGTGAGGGAAGAGAGAATACGGACATGAGTGAGTACGTCTCCTGCGCAGGTCCAAAGGGGCTGCCTTCGTGGTAGGCTGACCCTGGGCGGCAGTGAGCAGGCGAGGCTCGGGGACTTGGAGAGAGGGGCGCAGAGGGCCACCAGGCCGGGAAGGTGGTCTTTTCCCCTGCCAAAGGTTGATTACGGGAGCTTCCCACCACACACACACACACACACACACACACACACCAGGCTGGAGGGCCAGGAGAAGTGAACATTCCCAGAGGACGGTGATAGGGCCTCACCTCCTGCAGCGGAGGGAGATGGAACCCAAACGGGTTTTGCACCTTTTCAGGGTAGGCCAAGATGCTGCCCACTCACGGCCTGGCCGCTTGCAAGTGGTCTGGGCCTTCGCTGGGATGTCGGCCCTCATCCAGGATCTGGATTTATCCTTTCTCTAGTGACACACAGGGAGGAGGGAAGCTGGGATGGGAGGAGCGGGAGAGGCAGGGATGCTGAATTGCTGGGACAAGGCACTCACTACCAAGTAGGGTCTGAGGTCTGAACCTTTTAAACTTCAAGAATAAGATGGACAAAAGTGAAGTAGAGTTGTTCCAGCTGCTCAGAGTCCCCCCTGGCAGAGGTCTTCCTACTCCCTACCCCCCCCCACCCCATCCCCAAGCTGGCTAGACTGAAGTGGGAGCAGGAAGACCCCTGCCCGCGGTCACCAGTACAGAAGCCCTATACCCACCATGGGGGACCAAGGACGGGTCTGGGGCCAGGCAAAGTCTGGACCTAGGGGTAAGAAGAGGCAGCAACCCATTTGACCAGCCACAGGGAGATCCTGAGTGTGCCTTAGCCCAGCAAGGGCTCCATACTGTAGGTTGTAGCCAACATTGTGACCCACTGGGCTGTAACAACCCCCACAGGAAAACGGCCCCGAGGATGCCCAACCCCGGGGAAACAAAGTCGCATTCAAGTGGAGGTGGTGAGCCCTGCCTGAGCGGGCGGCCTTTGCGCCTGGGCACCTCGGTGCGGGTTCTGGGGAGGAGGAGGCGCCGCTCCGAACCGGGAGGGAGCAGTGAGAAGAGACGCAGAAGCCCAGAGCAAGCGCGACTCCGGGGCGAGTTCAGACGTCCAGCACATGGTTCAGGTAGGAGATGTAGCAGATGGCAAGGCGCAGGATCTCGATCTTGGAGAGCTTCTTGTCAGGCGGCAGCGTCGGCAGCAGTTTGCGCAGCTCGGCGAAGGCCAAGTTGAAGGCTTCCACACGGATGCGCTCCCGCGTGGCGTGCGCCGTGCGGTACTTGGCAGTGGCACGGCGTCGGCGCCGGCGCTCCTCCCGGCTCAGGTGCTGCAGGTCTTTGCGACCTGGCTCTCCCGGCTCTAAGCTCCGGGCCTGGCCCCCTCCAGGACCCCCCGGCCCAGCACTCTCAGGACCCGCCCCGCCCCCACAGTCGCTGAAACCCGACTCGGTCTCCGAATGAGTGGGAGGCAGGTCCAGCTCCATGGTATCTGAGTTGAGCATCATGATGGAAGACCCCGAGCCTGGGCGATTGGGATCCCCTCCCCACCCCTCCCTCCGGGAGCTTGAATGCGGATTGCGGGAGGGGCAGGAAGGGCACCGGACACTGAGCTCTGGCAAGCCGAGCCACTTCAGGGTTCCATGGTCGCCGTCCCAGCCCGGAGCCTGGAAAAGAAAAAAGAAAACCAACGGGATCAGAAGGAGGGAGGAAGAAGTGGACAGCTCCCGCGGTGGTGCAGAGGAGGGCGGCTTGAGAGGGGATGAGACGGGGATGAAGCTATGAACGCGAGGAAGAACGGGCACAAAGGTGGGGCTTTGGAGTCTGGGCTGGAAGCTGGAGCAGTTGGAGAGCAGCGGAAAGAACGCAACCCAGAAGGGAAGACAACCCGGAAAGTCACAAGGGGGGAGGGGGGTTGATGAGGACACACCCAGCAGGATGGGAGGATAGAACTCTAAAACATAGCGCAACGTGTTGAGATGTTGGACCTGCAGTGATCTGTTGGATATGACATCCAAAACGCAGGCAACAAAAGCGCACATAGCAAAGTGGGACAGCCTCAAACTTAACTTCAGAACATAAAAGGCACAGTCAACAACTTACAGAATGCAAGAAAATACCTGGCAAGGAGTTAATATACAGGACATGTGAAGATCTTAAAACCCAGTAATAAAAAGTCATGTAGCCTGACTAAAACATGGGCAAAGGGTTTGAACGGATATTTCTCCAAAGATGACACACAAACAGGCAACAAGTATATGAGAAAGATGCTTAACATCACGAATCATGAGGGGAGCACATCAAAACCCAATGAGTTATCCCTTCACACCCATCAGACCGACTCCTAAAATAAAACAAAGTTAATGTTGGCAAGGCTGTAGAGAAATGGGACTCCTCGGACCTTGTTGGGGAGGTGATACACGACGCAGCCTCTGTGGCAAACAGTATGAATGTTCCTTGGAACTAAAAATCAGAACTCCTACACGATCCAGAAATCCCATTTCTGGGTACATAGCCAGATAAAGACACCCAGGTTCACAGGAGCACTGCCCATGACAGCCAAGAGACAGAAGCAGCTCAAGTGGCCGTAAGTGAACAAACAGATGAACCCGATGTGACAGAAACACACGAGGGAATATTATCCAGTCTTAAAAAGGGAGAAGTCTTAAAAATGAAGCCAGAGGAGACAAGGCTGAAGTAACAAATACTGTACAATTGCTTCTGCATGAGGCCTCTGATTCATGGAAGTAGAAAATAGAATGTAGGTGGCCACAAGCTGGAGGCAGGACAAGGGAAGTTGCTAAAATGACACAGTTACACATAGGCGACATGGATGAGCCTGCAGCTCTGCTACACACCAGTGGGAATATTCTTCACAGTGTTGAGCAGTACTCTTAAAAGGGGCCAAAACGGTGACCCTGGGATTGTGCATGTCTTTTTTTTTTTTTTAATGGTACCAGGTAAACAAATGAGAGGGAAAAGCTGAGCAGGATCAGAGCCGCAGTGCTGAGAAAGGTTGCCTATGACTCTAGACCTTTCCTACCTTGAGCAAAGCTGCAGGCTTTGCTCTGCCAACCCTTTCCCCTCCCTTGCAGGGCCCCTCTGCAGCCCTGCTCCTAGAGGGTGGAGGGTGGGCAGACATGCAGATTGCCCATTGTACAGTGGACTGGGACATATGGAGCTCAGCACAGCTGGCCCAGCCCGGTCCCTCCCAGCCCCCTGGACCTCCGCAACACAGCCGCTGCCTACATCAGATCCTACCAGAACAGCATCTCCTCTGGCCACAATTCCCAGCCCAGGACCAGCCCTTCCTCCAGCTCTGTCCTCATCACCAGCAGCCCATGACATTCCCTGGCCCTTTTGGAGACTTTACAAGGAGGGCTGGGAAGGGAAAAGTGATCCATTTCCTGCCCCAACACTCTCCCACAGCCCAAAACACATCCTGACACATCCACAGCCCAAAACACATCTGTCAGCAGGCAGACAAGGAGGACACAGACAGCTTCTTGGATTCACCCTTGTGGCATTCACCCTGAGACAAGAAAGAAAATCTGGTACTTGCTCCCGGGGAATAAGGCAAGAGCTTGACCTGGGAAAAGCTGGGGAAAGGGAGGATGCATCAAGGGGGACAGGAGGACTCTCAGTTGCCCTCACTTTTCCTTAGTGGTCAGAAGCAGGCGCTGAGGCTGCCCCCCAATCACATCTCCCCTTCCTCCCTGGCCCTGGCGCTGCTGCCTGCAAGACCCCCCAGCTCTGCCCCCAGGGCCTTTCCCCATCCTACCACGGAGAAGACAAGTTCCAGCCAAGTCCACACTTAAAAAGCTCCGTGGAGATGGCAGGGCACACAAGTATGTCCACACCATAACACAAAGGAGAAGGTGGTCAGCGCTAAAATACAGAACACACCTCATATGCCGGGGTCCAGGGGAGCAAGAGGGGATGGCAATTGGATGGGAGGCCCCAAAATTGACATCTCCCAGTATGTCTCTTGTTCCCAACACCCAGTCCCCAGGCTTGGATTGGGAGCAAGAGTTCAGCTGTGGAATTTCTCAGTGTGATTCTCCCTTTGCCTGGTCCCTCATTCCTCCATCCCTGGTCATTATGCCATGCCTTCCTCTCTCGCTGCTCCCTCCACCTGGCCCAGACCATCTCCACCTGCTCCACAGACTTCCCAGCAGCACAGTCTCTAGTTCCCTATCAAGTCCCAATGCCCAAACCCACTTCTGATATCAACGTTCCAGGCTAGCACTTCCCAGCCCTACTTCTGTCAGCTTCAGCCGGGCTGAGGTTAGAGAGGCATGGAGTCAAAGGAGAGACACGGAGTGAGAAGAGAAGCAGAGCTGGAGAGGCACAGCAAAGAAGAGAGGAATCCCAGAAGGAGATGTGTGAGAGGTAGCTTGAGCTGGAGAAGGGGATGGTCACGCCCACCCCGACCCGACCCCCTGGACCCTCTTTACCTAGGAAGACCCTGGCAGGGGATCCCAGCCGGCAGGACAGGGGGTGACGTTGGTGGCCCCAGTCTCCTCTGGCTTCTCAGGCTCATCCGTCTGCAAAGTTAGTGACCAGCTTTCTAGAGCCCTCGGGAGCAGCGTTGAATGGCTGTACAGGATCCGGGGTGGGTGCAAGGGGTACACATGGTGAGGAGATGTGGGGCCCGGGTGGAAGGAGTAGACCTGACAATTCACCAGGGCCACCCAGCCCTCACACACACACTCACAGATACATAACACACACCTGAGCTGACCCAGCCCTGTGTATATATATATGGAGATACACACACACACCCCCAGCCTTCCATTGGCTGGCCAGGCCCCCCCTCATCAATATTAAACAGCCAGGCCAGGCAGTCATTGGCAGAGGGATCTGGGAACCCCCTGGGAGCTGGGGGCGGGGGCTGGCCCTGGGGGGGAGTGTGGGTAGAGGGGGAGCAGGGACATCTGTTCTCCATGCATATTTCATAAGCAAGAAATGGAGAGCTGGGGAAGGGGTGGGGCTGGGGCGAGAGCCAGGGCAGGACCACAGATGAACCCCCCATCTCCCAGCAAGCCAGGCTGAAGTGTCAGAAATTCTGAGTGCCCCTGGAACTTTGACAGCTCCTCCTCTGTGTCTCCTTTACCTGGGAAGAAGGTTTCCCCAGTTCCAAGCAAGGGAGCCAAGAAAGGAGCTCTTGACAAAACCAGGACACAGAGTCCAGGACACAAGACGCCAGGGCCCTGGCCACTGCTCTGTTCCTTCATAAAGGCTGGTGCCCTTGCCCTCATACCTTGGGACTCAGTCTCCCCACCCCTGTAACCCTGGTCCCCACCCTCCTCCGGGCCCAGTCACCAGAGGAGGAGTAGAACCAGACTCAGGACATAGAGTCCCACAAGGAATTTTCCTAAATGTCTTACTTTAACCTGACGCACTGGTAATTAGGGGCCTTAGGAAAAGGAGACGAGTGTTGAGAGGCAGATGCAGGATTGGGAGGACCCTGGGAGAAGGAAAGGCAGCCCCACAGGCTGTGAGTGCACCAGGGCCTCAAGTAACAATGAGAAAAGTTAAATTCAAATGGGCATGGACCAAGTTCACATGAATAACTCAGCCACTTGCAGCATGCCTGTGTGCTGTGTGTCCTTGTGCATGTTTGTGAATGTGCACATGTGTGTTTGTGTGTATTGCAGGGTGGCGGCAGCAGCAGCAGAGGTGGTCAGGGACAGCACAGGGAGGCAGCCGGCTGGTTTGGGCATCTGAGGCTTTCCCCTGCACAGCTGTTGATGGTCACCATTGAGTCCTGTATCTAACACGAACCATGAGTGCAAAGGACTCTAGAGACAGCCAGGAGCTGCAGGGAAGAGCTGTGTGAGCTGAGCTGGGACACATCACAGACTCTTGAGCCTCAACATCTCTCCCTGCAAAACGGGGCTACGGAAGGCTGATTCTGCTGCTGAAGTTGTCGTGGCAAAGAATAAGATCATGCTGCCAATGACCTAGAACCCTAGCAGGAAGCGTGGTCAGCCTTCAGGTTGTTGGAAGTATTTGCCATTTCCCTGTTCTGATCAACCTTTTTTGGGCTTTCTCCAGAGTGAGGCATTCCCTGAGGAGTCCCATAATTCTTCCCCAAGCTCCCTCCCTCCCCCCACCCCCAGGTCTGGGAGGTGCCAACTCCCACCTGGGCAGGCCCAGACAGGTGCCCAGGCGCCAGCAGATGGGCTGAGCTGGAGGGGAAAGGAGGCCTGAGGAGGGGGGCTAGGGAGGGGCAGGGGATCAGGTGGCATCTCAGTTCTTGCATCATCATTGCCATGGCGCTGATTAAAAACCAATCTCTTCCTAATGAGCCCCCAGCAACAACAGTCCTACCTCCCCATCCTTCTGCCTTCCTCCCCGTCCAAGAAATTGGGAGACTGGGGGACTCAGGAGAGAGTGCCACGGGAGAGAGGAGAGATGCGAATGGGAGAGGGAGAGGGAGAATGGAAATGGAGGGAAGAGCAGGGAGAGGCAGGGGCAGAGACCGAGATGTGCAGAAAGGAAAAGGACAAATGAAATCAGAGCAGTGGGTAAAAGGCCCGAGGGAAGGGAAAGACAGTCACAAAAAGATAGAGACACGGGGAGAAAGAAATTTTAAAATAACAACAATAAACAGAGGGTAGGGGCAGAGCTGCCAGGTTACCAAAGCTTTGTGGAAGGTATGGAGGGGTAAGGTATGGACAAGACAGAGAGGTGGGGGAGAGACTTGAAGAGGAGGATGGTTAGGGAATCACAGACCAGGGTGGGTCCCGACAGGAAGAAAACCCAGCTATCCGGGGCCAGAGGAGCCCTGAGGAAGGTCCTAAGACAAGTGAAACAGACTAGCACAGGGAGAGAGATAGCAGACAGAAAGGAGGAAACAGAAAAAAAGGCCAGGGACTGAGATGGAAATCCAGAGCCCAAAAGGTAGCAAGCACTGCGGAAAACAGAAGCAGAACCCAGAAAACGCTGGAAACAGAAAGGAATCTGGGGCCGGAGCCGGGGCAGAGGGTGGCGTGGAGCAAGACTGAAGGAGCCAAGCCCACCTCCCTCGGTGGGGGCTTTTATCTCAGGTGCCCCAGCCCCACAACCTCCTGAAGTAGCCAGTCTGGGATGTGCCCAGTGCAAGCTGAGGTTTGCTGGGAAAGGAAGGTAGGCGTGCCCAGGGACGACTTCCTCCTGTGTGCCAGAGGGGCCCAGGTCCAAGGTTCCTTTAACGATCTGGCTTTGCTCTTATGGAGGACAGCAAGAAAGGACACTCTAAAAGCACGGGATGATGAAACTTGTGTCAGTTAGGCTGCTCCAAGCACAGACAACTGTACAAGTCACTTAACCTTGATTGAGCCTTACTCTATCGCCAGTCAAGTAGGGATGATGTTGCAGGGCCTCTGGACCCCTCAGTGACAACACAGCCTGTGACTGTGCTGGGTAAAGCCAAGTGTGCTTCCCAATACCGCATCCATGCCGTGATGAAGGTGGCTAGAAACACCTCTGCATGCGGTATGGGGGACATCATGGTTAAAGGCTCCTGGGGGAGCTGCGGGCCTCGATCCTGTGGCAGAAGCAGCACCCTGGAATGTGTGTGGAGCAGGGTGTGGTGGGGAGGAACAGGAAGGAATGAGGGTGGCTTCATGATTTCTTGTAACATTTTATGGACATCCACTTCTTCAGCTTGCCATTCACAAATCTCTCTATGCTGGCACAGTCCATCAAGGTGGACTGATGCAGGGAGGAGGGGAGTTTGATGGGCAGGGAAGACACAGGAGCTTGGGCCTAGTCCTTGAGGGTGGGGGAGGGCCTGGAGGAGCTGGGGAAGCAGTGGGTTTGGCAGGAGAGGGGGTGACATATGTGGGGAGCCCTGGGGACCCAACCAGGCAAGCGGCTGGCAGGGAGAGCAGACGGAGTTAACCCTCACTGCGCCACACCGCCTGACCCTCTCTGGGAGTGGCCAGGGCTAGAGGGTTATTTTGTTTGGCCAGCTGGCCCCGTCTGGGGTCATGGGAGCTGTGCAGCAGGAGGAAGCTGGGCAAGGGGTTGTGGTGTTGGTGGACAGCGGCCGTATGTCTTCCATCCTCTTCCTCCTGGAACTTCGCTCTTGTCCGTCAGTCTGTCTTTGCCTCCACCTCGCTGCGCCTCTGGAAGGGGACAGCGGGTCTCCACTCTGGCTAACGACACAATCTGTCACTCTCTCTGCTGCCAGCGCAGCGGGAAGCCCCATCTCAGCGCCAGCCCCCTAGCCCTCTGGCCCAGGGCCCCCCCAGGCCTCATGGCCTTTGTCTCCTCAGGCAGCCGCCCCTTTCTTCTTGCCTCTCCACTCACCTCTTCTCTGCCGGGAGCCCATCTCCAATCTCATTAGGCCTCCAACCACTGTACCGCCCCCACCCCCAGCTTCTCCTCCTCCCTCCCCCATCCATCTGTCTTCCCTGAAGCTCTCCTCTTTGTGTCCACCCATCTGTCACTACCAGCTCCAGGCCTACACCCCTCCTGGCCACGCCCGGCTGGCCTTTCTCCCCTCAGGCTCAGCTCTCTCCCCTCCCTTTCCTCCTTCAACCTTGCTACAAATCCTCCTGCCTAGTGTCCTCTCAGTACTTTCTCTGGATCCTCCAGTTTCCCCAACTTCTCTGTTGTGAGTCAGGGGAAAAGTCAGGGACCCTGGGGTCCCAGCCCACAGCCCCCAAGCAGCCAGCTGGGGCTGGTAACACTGGCTCATGCTTGCATCATCTCAGACCAATGGCTGCTCTTTGGGCCTCCTGAGATGACCCCCACCCAGGTTGGGGACAGGGGCCTCAGCTGCTGTCCTACACAACAGGAGCATGGGAGCTTCGGTTCAAGACAGGAAAACCCGATCTGAGGCCTATGCAGAGCTCAACCCTCCAAGGCACTTGTGTCCTCAAGGCCAAGCTGCTGAATACTGGACAGTATGTTTTACAGGATGCAGTGTCATGATTTCCCCAAATCCTACTGCCCCTGGGTCAGAGGGCAACGGTGCCCCTCATGCCTCTCCCTGGAGTTGACTCTGAGTTAATGAATCGATCAGTCCTTTTCAAATCACCCCTGCCCTGAAGGGTTTAATAAAAGGGAAAAGGCTACAAACGCAGTCTTTGCCTGCACAGAGCCAAACCCACAGACAGCATTGCTGGTCTCAGCCTCAAGGCCAATGTTATATTGAGGCCCACAGAGAAAGCCCCTTTCAAGGCCAAACAGCCTTAGTGGTGCTCTCCCGTACTATCATCACCCACTGAAAACAATCCCTCCATCCTGTAAAACTTGGACAGAACCTGTTTAGGACACTAATTTTGCAGGAGTGCGTGCGTGTGCGCACACACACACAAGTGGTCTCACCAGGTTACTGATCTCGTGTCATATCACATCTAGACCCAGACCCGGAGTCTCTAAGGGAAAGCCATGTATCTCTTATTGTTTTATGGTGCCGGGACAGAATGTCCGCCCATGGCCATACTCAACAAATGTTGATTACTGCTGTGGCTGCCTGTGCAGATGTCAGGAATGTTCCAGCTGCAGCCCAGACCCTCACTTGCTTACCTGAGGTGAGCCACATCTTTCCTCTGGGCTCCTGTTTCTCCATCCGTCAAATGAGTTAGATGACATAGAACGACTTCTAAGATCCTCATGCTTCGTCCAAGCATGAGAAATAAGGTGGGAACCCAGTACACAGCAGCAGATACCAAATTAAACAAACAAAAAATACCTCCGCCCAGAGTGTGCCTTTGGGAGCAGTGACCCAGTTATGGGAAAGAAAGGGGCAAGCCCCTTTACTCAAATCAGCTGCGGAAGAGGCACCAGCTAGCGGGGAGGGCTTCAGAGCTAAGGCTTGAGGGATAAGGTGCCACCAACAGAGACAGGCTGGGTCATGCACACAGGATGAGTCAGCTTCCCAACTCTGCCTGGGCTGGATGAGAAAGTGCAGAGACAACAGCCAGCCAGCAGAAGCAGACAAGGAAGGCATCCCTTGGAGGGAACAGGACTGAACAATGTCTGGCTAAACGGAGGAGAGGAACGTAAACGGATGGCCAAGCCGTAAGCCAGCCACTCAATACATGGTCTCTGGGGCACAGGAGGTAGCTGGTTAAGGAGTCAGACCATGGTCTCCTGGGCGAGGGAGCTGCTTCGGAGTCCCAGTGGGGTCTGCTGAGAGGGTTGTGCTTCTTTCACAAAGCTAGCTTTTCCAGGGGCCACAGAAGGCCACGTGTTCCTGGAAAAGGATTGGTGGGAGAGATGTCATGGAGGACAGACTGCCCTGTGTTTAGGATTCTTCTCGAGGCAGAACAGGCTGTGGTATTCAAGTCCTGCCTCCCATACTCCTCGTTCCAATTGTGTACAAGCCTCTGCTCCCCAGTTCAGCCCCCTCACTGGGAGCCAGCCACTTCCCTGCCTCCCGAAGCTGCCAGCAGGATGAGGGAGTTTACTGTTCTGTCCGTTGGGAGACCTGTTGGCCAAGGGAGGCATGGAGCCTGCCCAGGCAATGGAGGCAGCTGCGCTCAAAGCCTGCCAGCGCAGCTTCTCTGGCTCCAACTGGGAGGGTGGGGTGGGTGAGCAGCAGGGTGTATTCCCATATCTCAGAACCCCAAACCCAGCTCCCCGCCATTCCTGAGGGATCCTGGAGAGAAACCTAGAAAACAATCTCCCCTCAGCAGCGGAGCAAAAGGGCAATCACCCAGGCAGGGAACTAACAGGAGGGTCAGGGGCATGTGGGGATGGCGAATCCTTTGCAGGACCCCAGCCTTCAGACCCACGCTCACACCAGCCACTTCCCTGGCAGCGGGGACATGGCTGCCGCTTATCCCTCCAGTGACTCAGCCATTGTCCACGATCTTTCACCAGCTCTGCTCCAGTCCAAAACTCTGTCTGCACGAGGACCTGGGAATCAGAGCTTCTCCACAAACATGAGCTGCTTTCTGAAACAGTCAGAAAGCAAAGGCCCACCTACCCCCCACAGAAAGCCAGGGGTCCTAAGCATGTCACCCAGGAACCTGTGTCCTGGCCCCAGCCTCACCTCCCGCTAAAGCACATGTGGCTCTGGCACACTGGAACTCATCTTTTCATACCACCTGACCCTGCTTCTGCACCTAGTGAAATGTCTTAAATTCCAACTCCAGAGCTACCTCCGCTGACCTGGATGCCTCTGTGCTACCAGAGTACCCTGGGCATGCCACAGTGGTTCCATCTATTGCATTGGATTGTACTGGCTGTGAGTGGATCTGGCCCTTCCCCCACCCTAACTAACTGTGAGCTGCTCAGGGTAGGCAGTGAGTAATGAAACACAGTATTTCCCAATGGAAGAAGGACCGTGCTAATGCTGGCCTTAGAAGAGGGAGCCAGGGCTCGCCAAGAGTTCTTCTTTCAGGATTTTCACTGTTTCTCATCCAACCTTCCTCTTGGGTCCTTGGGAGCCCAACAAGATAGCACGAAAGGCAAAAGTTTCATGACTTCAGGTCTTGGCTCACTGAATAAGGTGGTCTGGGGAGAGGAACCAGTCACAGTACAAGTCAGATGGGATAACCTGTTTTAATGAATCCCCCTATTTATATATTTACAAAAAAAAAAAAGGAAAGAGAAAACAATAAAAATAGATATTACAGCTTAATAAAAAGACCAACCAAGCACTGTGTGCTGGAGGTGGGATACCCACCCTAATGTGCCAGCTGAGACCCTGGAGAGAGGGTGGTGGGGACGAGCATGCGCAGCCCACAGTCCCTCCACTGCAACCCGTCTTCCTTCACAGGGCTTTACCATGGCTCCATTCTGACATTCAACCCTTCAGGATCTTCTTCCCGGCGCAGAAGGTGGCCGGGTACAGGGGATGGCGTGGGGAGCAGAGAAGGTACAAGGCAAGATGGGAAGAGGAGAGGGATCCTGAAGGGTGGCAAATTAGGGTGGGTGAGTGGGGAGTTTAACAGAAGCAGTTAGCTCCTCTAAGTAACCCCAGAATCAGATGGGTATAGGAAAGGAAGAGAGCATGAGGAGGGAGAAGGGGAGGAATGGAAAGGGGAGGAAGACAAGGGGGAGAGGGAGAGAGGGAGATGTAGAGGCGACTTGTTTCTTTCTCCCTGTCACTTCTGGACAGTTCCACTCTGTTAATCCCAGTCTGAGGCAGGCTCAGAGAGGGTCCAGTGACAAACTAGTGGTTTGTGTCCCAGTGGGACAGATGAGCTTGGAAGTGAAGTGCAGAGCTGATGGGACACGCTTCCATCTTCCTCAGTACGACACAGCTCCTGGCTCACGGGGAGCGATGAAAAGGATGTCGGCTTTGGCGTTGATGCAGTAGGTGACAATGAGAGAGAAGGCGAGGATGCCGAAGCCCACCATCAGGGTGAGGAACTGCAGGGCGGAGGAGGGGAGGAGAACAGTGTTCTTAGGGTGTGCGGCCGTGTCGGGCTGTTGTTTGGGGCTGGTATACACGGGGCTCTGGTGCTGGCTTCAGGCACCACGTAGGGGAAAAGCATAGACAACTTAGAGTCTCTCCACTGGAAGGCAAAATGTCTCTGTTCCTATATCTACCTTGTATATCTTAGCTGCTAAGCATCTTGAAAGTAGGGCCCACAGCTTTGGAAGAACTTCTAGGATCCACAGGGTTTCCCCAGAATGAATGGAAACACCAACCATCAGCAAGAAACCCGCCCCACTGGGACAGTCTGGTTGGCCAGGGACAGATCTGCCGCAGGTTTTAATGCAAATCTGAGCTAAAGGGATGTGGACATGACATAAGAGACATAAAAAGAGGTCAAGCAGGTTTGTGCCACCTGTTGCCTCTACAGCCACTCACCTCAAGTTCTTTGCTGGCGATGAGAAATATCCGGGCACGGATATCTTTCCAGCGGCTCTCAGTCCACGTGGAGTACTCCGTGGAACTCCACTGACTCAGTTCGAAGGCAGGGGACAAGGCCCTGGACAACCGTACCGTGGAGCGTACACAGTGGGGGAGCCGCTCCGTCTTGTTGGAATTCAGAGGGCCCTGAACCCAGGAGTACTCATACAGCTGCGGAGGAGGAGGGGCATGGCATGGGCTGACGCCACCCTCTGCTCACTCGCCCCTGCACCTTTAGCCTGCACTATGCCCTAATCAACCAAGCCAACTGTCATCCTCTCACCCTTTGGACAGTTTGTTTCCACCCAGTCTACTGCCTCTTCAGTACTCAAGTTCAAACAGCTGCATCCCCACCTGTCCAGGCCACTCCCCCGGTTTACCCAGGAACAAGAGATCTGCTAGTTTTTCCCAAGAAAAGGGGCCCGAGAAGGGGCAGCTCCGACACCCACCACCACTCACATCCTTGTTTTCACTTGGGACTTTACTTGGGTCCTGGCACTGCTCCCGGGTGAGGTTCATCACCTGGCCGGTCAAATTTGCCAAGGCATATTGCACAATGTAGGTGGTGTTGGTGGGGCTGGAGACCGCAATGTAATGTTGAAGAGGGCTGTCACCTGATTGTGGACCAAGGGGAAGGGAGGAGTCCGGTGGGTGGAAGGTGGGGCAAGGGTACACAGAAACAAGAAAAGTCCAAGATTGGCAGTAGCCGGAAAAGGGAAAGTTAAGAGAAAACGAGCCAACAAACATTAAAGAGGAAACAAAGTGGGGGGAGAGCACAGAAAAAAAGCAGTAATGGTTAAACCTAAATGATGATCTTTCCTCTATTCCTTTCCTTGGCTGAGGGTCCCGTCTGCATACCAGACACTTACTCAAGTAGGACCGCAGGTCGTGCCTGAGGATGGACTGGAACCAGGAGTTGTTGGCTCTAATCAGAAACCCATAGAGCAGGCGGGTGACCTAGGATTGGAACAGCAACAGGAAAAATCCCTGGGACTTGGAGGGAGCTGAGGGAAAGAATTCTGAGTGGAGGTCCAGTCGCGGGGGCAGGAACCAGGCTGGCCAGTTGGACTAGGGCTGGGAGATAGGAGTGGGCTGAAGGTATAAACACAATCTGTTCAACAGCTGCCTGGAGCATGAGGTGTACTCAAGCAAATTCAGGGTTGGAGCGGGTGGATAGCTAAGGGGTAGGAAGGATGGGAGCAAGCTGCTGTGTGGAAAAGAGCTGGGGCCCACCTGTTCTTACCGTTTGGGGATCAGCCTGGATGGTGTTGGTGAAGTTGGCTCCTCCTGCAAGCTCATACAGTGCACGTGCTAGCACCGTGGCCACGTTTGCCAGCGCCTGCGGTAGGAGAAGAATGGGGCTGAATGATGGTATGTCTCATCCATTCTCAAACACGATCCTTCTCGCCAGCCTCCCTGTATTCTCCATGCCCCCACGCAGCTGAGGGTCAGGGCTACCTTGGCGGTGTCCGTCACAAAGTTGAGTTCCTCTTCAGGGCTCTGGCCCTCGGGATAGACCACATGAATGTTCTCGGCAGTGTCGTAAACGCTCTGGTAGTATCTGTCGGGAAAGTCGGCATGGACTTTGGCTTCGCTCAGCCATGGCCCTTGCCCCGTTTGCTACTCAACTGCCTCTGATGACATCTGCATCTGCGACATCTTACTTTTTCCCATCCATGGCCAAGCAGAGTTAGAACATTAGGGAGAAGACTTGGAAAATGACAGGAGGAGGGGAGGGAGGGGTTGGGGAAGCACAAAGACTTTCCTGACAGACAAGGTCAACAAGATAAACGGACTGAGGTCTTTCAACACAAGGGATTTTTCCAATATGATCTGGGCCGGTGATGCAGGAGGCTGGCCAATCTGCATTTCAGAGAACTCTGACACACACTCTGACACACTCTGGGTACAATTGTGCCCATGAACGTTTACATTGACGCTGGCCGGCAGCAGGGGATGGGGGACTGGCCGGTGTTAGGACAAGCTCTGCTCACAGATATTTAAGGCATACACTGGGTGGAGTCACTGTGATAATCCTTTGGGATCCCCAAGGAGACAGGTCATAAGTCATAGGAGAGCTCCCAGCTTTGACTGTTGACAGATCCTTGTCCCTCACAGAGCTAGGTCATAGGATCAAGTTCCAAATGTGTGCAAATGAATCATCCCTCACCCCAAAATGGTGCAGAGAGGAGACCTGACCCTAACCACTGTGACCATTACTCCCTTGAATGAAGAAAAACGTGCTACTTGGCTGGGGTTACAGGACTGCAGCTAAAGTGTTTTTTAGTTTCAGAAAATCATTTGGCCCCAAGGAGGTGAGGGGACTCAGCAATCCAACCTGGGCATGATGTTCCCTCCTAACCCAGGCTTCAGGTTAGGCACAAGCTAAGGGTACCACAGAACAGGAGAGAGATGACAGTGCCCCACTTCTGATCTCTGGGCCTCCCCTCCATAGTAGGGTGTGTTTATATGCCACATGCACCTTCTACAATGGTGGGGACAGGTGAGAGTTCACAGAGCACAAATAGCATTTGTGGCACCAGGGACTGCTCTCCATCCTCCAGCCAAAGAACCGCCAGCTTGCTTCCTTGGGGCTCTTGTTGGAGACAATGCCCTCTGCTGGCAGCCCTGGGGAACTTAGGTCCCAAGAGAGCTAGAGGGAGGCAGAAGTGGAGCTAACAGGCAGGATGGTGCTCTGAGCCTGAGGAGGTCAGCTCTTTTACCAACAGGCCACAGAGCCAAGAACACTGACTGATTGCAGACTTTGCACGGGGTTGGAGTGGGGAGTGTCTGCAAAACAAACTCTCTCAGAACATGAAGAGCACACAGGGCCAGATTCCTACTTGTTATGGAAGGCATCAGAGTAGTCAGTCAGAACAACACCGGAGATGTTTCGAGCTCGAAGGAATCGCTGCAGAGAAGATGGTGGGAGGGCCTGGGACTGATTCAGCCTCCTGAGGATGACCTCGGGGACACCAGCACCAGTCCTCTCCAGCGTGGCCAGGAGCTCCTCCACCTGGGGGAAGGGGGTAGACCAGCAGTCGGGAGGTTGGTTTGGGGAGCTACCCCATGCTCTCCTCAACCTGCACCTCCCAAGCCTTTTTGGAAACCAAGGCTCTCTGATTCTTCTTACAGCTCTTACCATTCTTTTCAGAGCTAAAAGATTAAGGCCCAAAGAGGCCTATGCTTTCCCATGTTTATAGGTAGATGCCCCTGTCCTTGAGACTCTGCCTTCTCCTTAGCAGCTGCTTTACTGAAAACGTTTGTTATATGGAATGGGAAGAGGCAAAAAAAAAAAAAAGCAAAATTGTCATCTGGACGCACATCTTCTGAGTGCTACAGGAGGGCAGGGTAGGGACGACACCAAAGGCTGAAGTGGAAGGACTTTAGGTTAATAAAAGCAGCCTTGAGCTGGACATGGGAGTGAGGAAGTGGAAGTGATTTGTGTAGGGCATCTGACACAGCCAGGGCGCCTGCAGGGCAGCCTTGACAACTGGATCTGTGCAGCAACAAGGACAAAAGCAAGCTGGCCATCACCTCTCCTTGCTGGGCAGTGGCCGTCTGCGAGGCACCAAGAGATCAGAGAACTACTCATCCGGGAAACCAACAGGAAGTCACTGGACTCGCTGATTCTTCCTAACCAGTGATAACGGCTCTGGTGTTCATCCCTTACCAACACTCAATCTAATCCCATTTCACAGGCTCAGGGGATTGGGAAGGAAAGAGCAGACGGGAGGAGGTGGGCTCCGTATTCTAAGTTGCTGAAGAGGGAGATGTGGAGGGATGCTCTGCTTACCTGGGCCTTCACAGACTCATTGGTCTGAGACATGGGGTCCGTGTGCATCCACAGCTCTAACGAGGTCCTCAAGGCCACCTGTGGGGCAGACCAAGCAGCAGCCATCAGTCTCCTGTTCCGGCCCTTACCTGGGGCGAAGGCCATTTGAAGGCCATTGAGGGAAGAGGTGCTGGCACCTGAAGGAAGCACAACGCAATGACAGAGGGGGTAGCTGTGAGCACACCTGGCCCAGCTCCACAAATGAGGCGATGTTCTCCAACGGCACAGGAAACTTGCCCTTCTCCATATCGTACACCATTCTAGAGCTGCCAATGTAGTCAAAGGTTTCCTGAGGTGTGGGCACGGGTGAGGAAGGAAACAGAAATTCCAGATGGTCACAGCAGTCCTAAGGAAGGCCTGCCCATCAAGGCTGTGGGCAGGAAGGCTACTGTCTCAGGGCCTCCCAGCTGTTAGTCAGCTCCTAGTCACCTGACGGGCCCCTCCTCTCCCTCCACCCTGCCCCGCCTCCCAGCTGCGACTAGCCCTCACACGGGCACATCACAGGACTTCCGGAGCCCAGAGATAGAGAAAACAGCCTTACTAAGGACCCAAAGTGACCCACAGTTGCTCTGTACCCGCTTCTCGACTCTCCACCTCCTCCACCCACTCAGTCAGGGCCATGACTCCCTCACTGTGGAGCTTGGCCGAGGCGGCAGGAGGCTCCTGGGCGGAGGTGGCAGTAAAGAGACCCAGAGAATGAAAATGAAAAGATGCCTCAAATAGAGTTTTTCTCAGCAGGAGAAACCTAAGCAGTGATAATGTTAATCTGGGGCACAGAAGGTTTCAAAATAAAAGAGGAAGGGGAGACACACGAGGACATAGCCAGAAGCTCTGTGTTGATCCACAGCGTGGGACCGGTGCTCAGGTCCTCATCCTGCCCTCCCTGCCATCCCACGCCCCCACCCCCAGCAGCCCTACCCCTTGGAAGAAGACAAACATGACGTTGCGGGGCAGAGCGGACACATCCTGTGCCTTCTGCAAAGCTTCAGCTGCAGCTAGCTGGGTGACGAAGGAGGCAACAGCACTTTCGGCACCTGGGGCCACATTCCAGAAAAAGGAACGGCTGTCCAGCTGGGGAGAGCAAAATGAAGGCGGGGAAGGAATCCCTTAGAACTGAAAATTAGAAGGAGGTCTAAGCTCCCTATATGCATAATTTCACCCAAAAGCACATAACATGTCCTGGGGTGAGGAGCAGAGCCCAGAAGCCCCACAGCCTAGATCCCTCTCCAGCCCAGGCCCCCCTGATGCAGCAACTCTGAAACCCGATCTTTCCAGCTGCCTGTCTCTCAGTGCTAATCCTGCCCGCCCTGATCAGGGGCCAACACTCACCCGGGTGGCAGCCACCACAACCCTGTCATCAGGCTCCAGTGTTCCAGACGTATTTATAGGCTTCAGCAAGCTCCATACATTGTAGTCAGACAGGGGGTCACAGACGATTTCTGAGTGGACATAGCGAGCCATCAACAGGACTGAAGGAGAGGGCGGCTGCACAGAAATCCTCTAAGCCCCCTGGTCTCTACGTCAGCTTCTCCTCTGACAGGGCCTGGCTGGCTTCCCTGCCGCAATCCACTTCAACTCCAATCTGCTGAAACTGTTCAAAACTGTTTCCGTTTCTCCTACCCAGTGATGCCTGCCTATGTGCCCCACTCCCGCCTGACCACAGCCCCTCCCTGGCCAGCGCCCCGTCAACCCCAGCCCAGCCTGGACCTGCCCTACCTGGGTTGATGCTGAAGGAGCTCTGGATGGAGCTGCGCCGCATGCAGGTGGCCGTGCTGATGACGGCGTGCATGTGTGAGAAGAGCTGCATGGCACACAGCGGGAAGGTGGGTGCTGAGCCGTTCTGACTCAGGTTGTGATCATGATAGCACTGCAAGGGGAGACGGACCCCACTGAGAAAGCTAGCTGTGGAGGTCCTCCCTTACGTCCCAGAAAGATAGGGGCCGGGCTCTGTCCCCCTTTTGTCCCCGAGCTATAGTTGTCCTGGTACAGCCACAGGGACTATGAGGCCCAAGAGAAAAGGTCATCAAGAGGTGAAAGGGACTCGATGGCTGGGTTGCAGCAGATGAAATTGCCCCACTCCAAAGGCCCTGGCCAAATGTGGATCACTAGCTGCTGCTCCAGCGGGATTTAATAAAAGAAACATTGAACTAGAGATCAAAAATAAGATTTCACGACCATTTGGACATCAAATCACTATGAACTTCAAACAAGCCTCTTAACTGCCGTTTGTTACAAGGAAGACGTCAGCTCGAACGGGTGCATGCTAGAAAAGAGCCTCAGATCGTCCTGAATCAAGCCTCTCCGTTTCCAGTCCAATGCTTTTTAACCGAATCTTCACTAGTGCTACACACCTTGCTTCATATTAACCTTTCCTTTATTATCTGTTTCATTCAAAAATCGGTCAGGCTGTGAGATCAGGCAGGAAGCAGGAGAGGGGACACTGAGACAAAGCACTGCTTGGTCCCTGTTGCAGGACATCTTTCATGGGGTACAACTGAATGAGCAGCAGCACAGCCTACCAATAACCCCCTTTCCAATCAGAACTGCTAAGAGCTAACACAAGTGTTACCTGCTTGATGACCTTAGTTTCATTTTCGTCTTCAAGAAGAAATATAGGGAAACTGAAGTCCTCATAAGCCAAGCCATTGCCCAGCTGGTTCCACAGGCTGTCTTTGCAATGAGCAAACTCCGACCCGTAAGAGTTGGAATAAACACCTGAAGGAGAGGGCAGGCGGAGGGAGGAGTGGGCTACTGACACACGAAGCACTGAAGGACCCCGCGAAGGACAAAGGTGACGGGTTCAGAAGGAAGACAGTGATGCAAAGAAGGGGACCTGAATCTATCATCACACAGAGACACTGGTATCAAGAATCCTAGATTGGCAAATTGTGGCGCTGAGCTGAAAGACGGGAAGCAGGAGAAGGCAGGCAAGGGATGAATGGCGGAGACAAAGCGACACTTGTCGGGGAGTCAGTTCTCCACAATCCGCACACACACACACCCCTCACAGAGACAGGAGACTGAGCAAGCCTGAGCCTTGTGTGACAACAGGCTTTCCTGACTCAGTGGGTTCTTACCAAAGCCATCGTTTGGGCACTGCACACTAGGAGAGAAGCCTTGGCTGGGACTGGGCTTGGCCAAGGTCACTGCAAGGCCAGCGATGCGGCTGGTTCTGCCCTTCAGCTTTTCCATTGTTTCCCTAGAACAGGGGAAGACGGAATTACTGGAGAGCTCGGAGTCCCATCCTCCTGTTGCTAATAATCGGAGAGTTAAGGGACTCAGAATGGCTGACTCGTTTCTTTCTTCTTCAGTCTCTAACTTCTGATTGATTCTGGACCAAGATTCGAAGGTGAACTCAGGGCTCATCTAATCTGTCCCTGAGTGACCCAAGGTATGTCTCCTTCCTCCCTGTGGTTCTTTTTTTCTTTTTCTTTTTAAGATATATTTATTTTGGGCCCGGCGCGGTGGCGCAAGGGGTTAAAGGTCCTCACCTTGCACGCCTGGGATCCCATATGGGCGCCGGTTCTAATCCCAGCAGCCCCGCTTCCTTTCCAGCTCCCTGCCTGTGGCCTGGGAAAGCAGTGGAGGACGGCCCAAAGCTTTGGGAACCTGCACCCGCGTGGGAGACCCGGAAGAGGCTCCTGGCTTCGGATCGGCATAGTATCGGCCCGTTGCGCGCACTTGGGGAGTGAATCATCGGACGGAAGGTCTTCCTCTCTGTCTCTCCTCTCTGTATATCCGCCTTTCCAATGAAAAAATAATAAAAATAAATCTTTAAAAAAAAAAAATAAGATATATTTATTTTTATTGGAAAGGCAGATTTAGAGAGAGGACAGACTCCCTGAGCAGGATCCAAAGCTAGGAGCCAAGATCCAGGAACTTCTTCTTGGTTTCCCATATGGATGCAGGGTCCCAAGGACTTGGACCATCTTCCACTGAATTCCCAGGCCACAAACAGGGAGCTGGATGGGAAGTAGAGAAGCCAGCACATGAATTGGCACCCATATGGGATCCCAGCATTTGAAAGGGGAGGATTAGCCAGTTGAACTATAGAGCGTAGAGACCATAAGAGATCTTCTATCTGCCAGTTCATTCCCCAAATGCCCACGACTGTTGGGGTTGGGTCAGGCCAAAGCCAGGAATCAATGTGGGTCTGCGACATGGGTGGCAGGATCCCAACCACCTGAACATCCACTGCCTCCCACCGTGCACTTTAGCACAAGGTGAAACAGGAAGCGAGGCCGCAGACTTGAGGCCAGGCATTTTGATACAGGATGTGGGCCTCCCAAGTGATTTTTATTTATTTATTATTTTTTTTTTTTGGAAAGGCAGATATACAGAGAGGAAGATCTTCCATCTGCTGGTTCACTCCCCAAGCAGCTGCAATGGTCAGAGCTGAGCCAATGTGAAGCCAGGAGCCAGGAACTGGCTCCAGGCCTCTCACACACAAGTGCAGAGTCCTAAGGCCTTGGGCCGCCCTCGACTGCTTTTTCAAGCCACAAGCAGGGAGCTGGATGGGAAGCGGGGCTGCTGGGATTAGAACTGAGGCCCATACGGGATCCCAGCATGTTCAAGGTGAGGACTTTAGCTGCTAGGCTATCACATCAGGCCCCCAAGTGATGTCTTAACTGATGTGTCACATGCCCACCCTGGGACTCTTATTCTAAGTCCTCTGGGGTGATTCCTTTTGATGGTACCTCGTTCCTTCTGAAAACCACTCCTGCACCTTCCCCTGAACTGACTGGGGCAACCAAGGAAAGTTCTCACTTCATTCACCGTTGTCTCACTCCACCTTTTCCTGTGTGAATGCATTTTCTTAGCAGGTACATCCAGGTCTTACCGGGTAAAGAGGTTGCCTTCTAGCAGAACCATGTAAGGAGGGTTGGGACCATCAGCCAACACCCACTGCAGATCCTCCATCTTCTCCACGACATGGATAACTCCGGTGTCCCCGCTAATTGAAGCTGCAGGGACAGAATGGGTGGAATTCAAGTTCCTATAGTTGGTATTTCTGAGTTTACCTTCCCAGAGTCTGCAGATCTTCCACTGCTAAAGATGGAACGTTGTCTGGGTGAACAGAGCCATCTTTGGACTTGAGCTCAAAGACCGAACTGCCCCTGCTCCATCTGCAAGTTAACAGGAGGAGAGGAGAACCTATTAGAGCCCTTGCTGATGAAATACCAGACTCTGTGATCTTCATTTGCTTGTCCTTCTCCCTCAACCTCAGTCAGCTATTTACAGAACATTCTAGAAGACTCGACACCAAAGTTTTCCAACATGTACTTCCTTCGGGATATGCGAGGCTGATTTTCTCTAGCTTTGAATCTTCCTTTGTGAAAACACTCGTGGCGATGGCCCTGGAGATCATCACTCCTTCGCCCTATTCAGGAATGAGTTTGCATCCAGCTTCAGGCGATGTTAGACAGTATCTGAGCTCTCTAGCACACAGCTTCCCAACTGACAGGTTATCTGTGGGTCAGAGACGTACTGACACTGGTCAGCCTCCTTCCTGTGGACTGATGGTTTCCAGAATCCTTGGGTCACTTGCAGCACAAGCAGACTGACCCCAAGATGCTCCGTGAATTTCCCTCTTTCTGTTATGGCCAGGATGCCAGGTAACATTTTCCTTGTCTCACAAAGTGACCAAGCCTGGGAAGCTCTGTGCTAGAGATGGGTGATTCAATGCCCAGAATGACTCCGATTTTACGGAACACCAGCAACCCTGCAGAGCCCTCCCTGGGCATCCATGGAGTTCTTATTTCCACTGGACACTAGACGTGTTATTCGCAGATCATTCTGAGCAGTTCTCAAACCTGGCTATATATCAGATTGACTTGGAATTTTTTAAAAATGCAACTGCTTAGACCCTACCTCAGATTTTCTAAATTCACATTTCCCAATCTATCTATATCTTCAAAACATGTCACCTGTGCTTCTTTCTTATAAACAGCCAGCCAAGAGAATCGTGCTTCTATGCCTGTAACCAGGAATTCACACGTAGAACACTCAACTGTGGCCTCCATAGAGGAAATAATTGAATTTACCTTGATAGTGAAAACAATAGAAGTTGGAGGACTAGTGGAGTCTGGAACAACTGTAGCTAACACCCAGATAACACTGGATGTTCTTGGTAGACAAAACCAGCAGTTTTTGCCAAAGCATTTAAAATACAGGAAAGGGAAAAACTGGTATGGAAAGTAAGAAAATGTAACTTCAGCTGTGGGGAGGATAGAAGCTGTGATAACAGACTGAAAACCCTGGATTCCAACCTGGGTCCCAGCGGACCACTGCACCAACTAAGCTGTGCTTACTTTCTCCAGTCTTTAATGAGGAGCAGCTTTCCACCTTTCCCACGTCACACAGTAGGGAAGGAAGCAGGGAGAGAGGCAGTGAGGAAAAAGAACCCTCCAGCTCCCTCTGACCACTTCAAAGAGTCCCACAGAAGCCGGTTATTACTGCCAGAAAATCTGATCTGGGTCTTTTTCTCCTTTATCATGCTAAAAGGGTGTAGCTAGCTCAGGACAGATTAAATAAGACTTAGAAATAAACAGGTTGAGAAGGAAACAAGACCTTAATGAGGAAATGGCCAGAGTCCAGCCCCTCCCCTCTCGTCCCTCTGTATTGGCAGTTGGCTTCAATCTCTAGAGGCTCTTGCTTGGCTTCCCATGGGCCGCTCAAAGCCCAGGCCGCAGGATGACTCATGGCCAAAGGGTACTGTGAGCGCGCAACTCCAAGAGCATGGGCTCTAGCCTTGGATGCTTCTTCTTAGGTTCCAGCCAGGCCAGTAAGCTGACCTCAGTCCACAGTGGGCCTAGATGGCTTGGACCTCTCCTGTCCAAAATCCCCACGGGGAACCTGAACAAACGTTTCCTTAATAGCAAGATGGGACAATGAACATATCCATAACATAAACAACTATCTGATGGAGCCACCGTTCATGAAACAGGATACCTGAAAACTACAGCTCAGGCACTGGAAGAACTGGAAGCCAGCCTCTGGATCACAACTTTTTATTCCTCTGACAGTTTGAATTTTTCAAAATTTATTTATGTTTTAACTTGAAAGGCAGAGTTACAGAGAAATAGAGACTTAACATCCACTGGTTAACTTCCCAAATGGCCACAAGAGAAGGAAGCTTGGGCAGAAGTGGAGCAGCCAGGATCCGAACGGTGCCTACATGGGATGCCAGCACTGCAGGCAGAGGCTTAGCCTGCCACACCATGGTGCCATCCTCTAGTTTCTTTTCCTTTTTTTTTTTTCTTTCGTGGGGGGGGGGGGGGGGAGAGGGGAGTACATCCACAAAGTATAAAGACAAACTCGAACATTTCATTTTCAACGTTTTACATTCAGTTACTATTAACAACAACAAAAAAAAACTTATGATGCTTGTCAACTATGCCCATTTATTCTATTTTATTTTAGAATGTTCCACCCACTGATTCACTCATACAAACCCAACAGTCAGGGTCAGGCCAGGTCAAAGCCAGGAACCAGGAACTCTACCCTGTTCTCCCAAACAGGTTGCTGACACTCAAGTATTTCGGCTTTCCCCTGCTGCCTTCTCAGACACATTAATAGAGAACCAGACTGGAAGCAGGGTAGCCAGGACTTGGACTGACACTCAAATGTGGATGCTCGATTTATGAACAGCAGCTTTATCTGCGGTGTCACAATGCTGGCCCCTAGTTTACTATTTCAAAGAAGTCGTCAAGATCCCAAAGAGATACTGCAGAGTGCAGGTGATGACAAGACTACAGGCTATAAGACTTCCTTTTTTGGAAAAATAGCCTAGTAGAATCATTAAGAGTCTTGGCTTAGAACTTGGAATACCAGGGTTCAAATTCTGCTTTCACCTCGGAATAACCTTGCAAAAATTATTGTGGCTCTTTAAGTGTGAGTTTCATAATTTGCAAAATGGTGACCACAGGACTCCTCCCTTGGGCAGGACAGCATTTACTACAAGTTAGTGCATATTAATAAGGGCGCCTGGTTTCATCGCTGCTTCTCTATCATCCCCTACTCACACGTTGATTGCAGTGCCAGGACTCCTATGCAGGGCACAGACTGAAACATCAATGGGCACAAACACAGACCCCCAACCCGACTCACACTGGCAGCCAATCTGATGCGTGGCATTGAGCAGCCGGACACAGGGGGCTGTTTTATTTAAGGGAATGTAGATCTTCCTCTCCACTGAGTTTCCACCGCATAAACCTGATCGGAAGATAAAAAGTATTACAAGTTGAGAGGCTCCGTGCTAGCTTCCATCACATCACATTTGCGTGCTGTATAAACTGGGTAAATTGCTCAATTTCATACTGTGAAACATGAACTAGCATCCATCCTCACTTCTTGGGCCTGTTATTGGAGCATATAAACGCTCCACACAGTTCCCAGCTAAGCTCCTCAGAAGACTGCTATGAATTCCACACAAAGGGAGTATGGGGGCCCGGCGCAGTGGCGCAGTGGCGCAGTGGCTGGGGTCCTCGCCTTGCACGCCTGGGATCCCATATGGGTGCCGGTTCTAATTCCGGCAGCTCCACTTCCCTTCCGGCTCCCTGCCTGTGGCCAAGGAAGGCAGTCGAGGACTGCCCAAAGCTTTGGGACCCTGCACCCACGTGGGAGACCCAGAAGAGGCTCCTGGCTTCGGATTGGCATAGTATCGGCCGTTGCGCTCACTTGGGGGGTGAATCATCGGACGGAGGATCTTCCTCTCTGTCTCTCCTCTCTGTATGTCCGCCTTTCCAATAAAAAAAATAATAATGATAATAAAAATAAATCTTTTAAAAAAAAAGGGAGTATGGGAGAAGATGAGAGAAACCTGATTTGTCAAAAAGACAGGTGTTCATCCTTTGATGTGCCAGCTTCTGTGCACACGCGCGCCTGTGTGTGTGTGTGTGTGTGCATACTTCCACTTTCCTGTCCTGAAGGCACGTTACCTGGATGCTGATCTAAGAATACAGATCACAATTTAAAAAATGATGTTGAGACTGACTTTGTGCCCCAGGAGTCTTGTCAGAATTGGGAGAAATCTGTCAGTTAACCTCACGCCAGGAAATCATTTGCATGTGCCCACACTGTGGCCACAGCTTCTCCTTTAGGGATCTTTTTTTTTAAAAAAAGTGAGTTTGGGGGGGCATGTGTGCCAAATTTCAGGGCTGAACCAACTAGAAAGCCATACACCAGAAAATAAACGCGTGTAAGTATCAAGGCTTCGAGCTCCCGGAGTCAACATTTCATACTCTGTGGACAGCCAGGAGTTCCCATACCCTAGCCTGATCACTTCGCTGATGAAGAAACTCTTTAGGCACGGGTTTATGGCGTAATCAGCAGAGAAGAAATAGATCTACCTTGTAAGCACACACAGCACCCACAGGAGGCTGTTTCTTATCTCCAAAAAAAAAAAAAAAAGTCCTAAACACAGGAAAGGAAGCTAAACTTTGACACCTGTACCTTTTGGTTATGAGCGTTGTGGCTGGGGCTATAGGGGAATGAGGCACTGGACAAAGTGGGCTGCAGGTGAGCAGGCAAGGAAGCGACCCGAGGTGCCGCAGTGGGGAAGGGATCTACAGGTTCAGGCAAAGGGGGAACGTCTGTCGTGGGAACGAAAGAGAAAGAGGATTTACAGGGTGGGGGGACAGAGGGGCAGAAGGGACCAAAAGGGGGACGGCGGTGTTCGCGCCTGGGCAGGTCCGAAAGGGTCCCCTTACCCAGCGGCGCTCAAGGGCGAAGAGGCCTCACCTGTCAGGAGAACGCAGAAAGACAGAAGGAGAAGAAGACCCGAACTTGCAGGGCCAGGTCTAGAGCCGCCCCTAGCCGTGGCCATCTTGCCTCTCCGCGGAGCGGAAGCCCCACTGCCCCTCCTCCCGGGTAGTGGCCTCTCTAGGCTACCAGGGGCGCCGTCTCGGTGTCCCGGCGCTCCGGAGACCGGAAGTTCGTGTCTAGAGGCGCTTCCGGGGCTGCGGCGGAGGGTCGCTGACGTGGAGGCGGCCGAAGGGCAGCGGGGAGTGGCAGGAGCAGCGGAGCCGAGGCTGCAGCCGGAGGCCTGAAGGATGCTGACCAAATTCGAGACCAAAAGCGCACGGGTCAAAGGTAGGGGAGAAGAAAGCGGGGGGTAAATGTGGAGGCTGAGTGTCAGGGGCGGCGCTGTCACGGGGGACGCGGGAATGGCTGGACCTGCCGGCCCATGGGGCTCGCTGGACGAGCCCGGAGGAAGAGCCGGGCTGGCGGGCGGTTCTGCAGGCCTGTCCCGCTGTGTGTCGTCGGGCTTTGTACACCGTTGGCTGCAGCGCGAAGGGTCCGCCTGGCCTCGCTGCCCTCCGTCTGCGTCCCGTTTTCCGCTTCCACGGCCCGGTGACCTGTAATGTGGAATAACTCTCAGAACTGAGTCTGGGTCTTCCAGACTCGCACCCGAGGCCCTAACGTTCTCGGAGAGCAGTCCTGGCCACCTCGGTGGACCAGGCGCTGACCAGCCAGTGTCCGACTTGGGTTTTGTGTTGTGCTTGGACGTAGGACCTGAAGGCCTGTAGCCACAGGCAAGATTGAGCTTGGTAGTGTTGCCAGGTAAAATGCACGGTGCCCAGTTCGATCTGAATGTCAGATGGCAGGTGAAGATCTAGTATTGTTCATGGTTTTCCTGAAATTGAGGTTTCATGGTGTCTCTTGCACTTGGGTTTGCTCATTTGCGGTGACCCTGGAGCTTGAGCTGCGTGCCTGGGAGTGGAGAGGGGGCTGATAATGTACTAGCGGCCCCCGAGAACGTTCAGCTGGGAAACGCGGAGAAGTGAGGTCTGCTGCAGACACGGAGGTGATGCAGCCGGACGCAGTCGTTAGGGGGAACTTGGTGTTCGAAGTCGGTTGGGCCTGCTGTGGCATCCTAAAACACCCCCACAAAAAGTTTCGTGACTTGGACAACTAATTTAACAACTCCAAATATGTTTCCTCATTTATAAAACATAATTTTCATTTAAAGAGAGAGTTAAAATGAAATGGAAATTATTTCTTGCAGTAAATAGGGACTGACACTCGGTAGCTCAAAAACTGGAGGCCGTTGCTGATGTGATACTATATTCTGAGCAGTCTACAGTAGGTGGGAGTGACCATCGCAGAGACTTCCAGAAGGCTTTCTGGGACATGCGGGCGGGGCTGAAATGGATCGCAACAGTCCTTGGGTTTTCGTTTCTTCTTGAGCAGCACATGAAGGCGGGGAGGGGCCAGAATATTTGAGGATTACTGTCCACATTGTACAGGGGGAAACTACTTATTATAATATATTACCTGTCATAGAGGGAGAAAACATACAACCTAAAGGGTACATTGACCCTTTAGAAGAATGTAAGTGTTCAATAAATATTTTGCAGGGTTCCACCTCCGAATATTGAAAAGAAATTCAAAAAATAGTGTTTTTTAATGCTACATTAATAAAGCAAAAAGCAACATAATAGCTTCTCATAGCCAATGTGTACAAAATCAATACCTCTCTAAACTTGAGGAGATCACATATTGGTGATTTTTTTCAATTAAACACTCAGTTAAACACTATCAACCAGAATGTTAAATGCATGTGCTCTAATCCCTGAACCACCCCGCTTTCACATCTCTAGTTAATAAAGCTGATAGGCTGGATAATGTGTGGAAGTATATTCAGTAAGAACTTCTGGATAGCCATTTTAAGGTGTACAGAACCCAGTTGTATATAAACTAATAATTGAAATGTCAATGAAGAAGTCACAGGGTATGGTTCAGAACTTGCATTCTTTTTTTTTTTAGCATATTAGTTACTCAATACCATGTCAATTAATTCCATAATGTTATGAATTGTTACTGATGTTATGTCGGGGCTTTTAATTGATCGGGATGATACTCTGCCAGCTCTACCATCAGACCAGAGATAGTCCCCCCAAGAAATCGTTGAACTTATCTGGACAATAAGATGCTGGACTTTATGCTTGGTGAATGCTTGCAATGAAAGAATCGCAACTGAATTTGAACTGTGGTAATGCAAGAAGGTGGAAGAACCACCATGGGAGGAGGGCTTGGGGAGGGGAAGGGGGGAATCCCAGTGCCTATAGAACTGTGTCACGTAATGCAATGCAATGCAATGCAATCAATTAAAAAAAAAAAAAGAACTTCTGGTAGCCAAAACTTGTGGAAAAGAATTGTCTATTAGTGGGTGATTTCAAATGTGAGGCAATTGTAAGAAGAATGAAGTTATACTTATATGTAGCTAAATGTAATAAGATTCACACATAAGTGAGGAAAGAAGTTTGCAGAACATTATAATGTGAAGTTGAGGCCTGTGCTTATATATCATTAAGAATCTGAAGAAATGCATTGCACACTGTCAGCAGTTCCCCGGGGAGCTGCGTTTCTAGTCATGATGGAGTGACGAGCAGCACACTTCCTTTCCATCTTAAATAACTGCACAGCTGAGCGAAATGCAGGAAAAAAACATCTTCACACATTGGACAGTAGACAGTGAAGGACCGTGTTTCTTGAGAGAAGGGAAGAAGCAGTGTGAGTCTTACACTTGTTCCCGTTTACTGCTTAGACGCAGTTCCAGGCTGCATTGGAGGTACGAGAAAGACACAGTTCAGAGTTCCACAAACAAACATGGTTGGGATTTGCTGAGTAGAATACCAGATGCTGCCCTGGAGGTTGGCAGAGGGGCACTTCAGGCCTTTGCCTGCTAATCTGTACAGGTTGTAGACAGGATGAGCCATGGGACAGGCACAGGGTTGTAAATGGAGGGGAGGACTTGCTGATATTTCAGTGCAGTGTGCAGAGCTCTCAGGACTGGGCTGCCTTTAGAACAACCCCAGGTTAGACCTGGTCTAAAGGCTGCTGCCGGTCCCTGTAACAAAGCTTGAAAGTGAACTTCAAAGGGATCATACAAGTCCAAGTAACTGCACCGCGTTGTAAAGCCCAGCAGTGTTTGAAGGAGTGTTAACAAAAATCCAACACCCAGCAGTGTGATTTCACAATATGTAACATCTAACAATAAGAAAAAATCACCAGACATGTTAAATGAATGAGTGAGTCTGTGTTAACATAGCATTTTTCTGATCAGGATTGGCAGAAGACCACGTCAAGGGAGTTACTTGGTTAATTTCATCACTTTCTGTTTTTTTCCTAGGGCTCAGTTTTCACCCCAAAAGACCCTGGATTCTGACTAGTTTACACAATGGGGT